CTGCTAAGGCTTGGGCCTTAATGGCAGTTCGCGGCTTGTACTGGAGCTCGTACTCNTCGTACTCGCTGAGATCAACAGCCCACTTCGTCAACCGACTAGAGACCTTGGGCTTAAGCAATACTTGCCTCAGGGGTCAGTTCGGGTCGTAGGGGCCCGTGGACGGAAGCGTCGATCTGAAGCGTCCAAGTTAGGTCTGCTGGTGAGGTCGGGACAGCGACTGTTTCTTCCGTGGGCGTGGCTCGCTCTTCGCCTTGCTCCGTGGGTCGCTCCAGTTCGAGGTCGCCGGCCACCTTGGTTTTCCCCTTCAGGGCGGCAACATAGCACTTGCGGGATTCGAGCTAGTCGCCCCGCGCTACTCCCACACCGAAGTCTATTGGGGACTTCATAGCCAAAGGGTAAGTGGAGACCACCGTCCGTAGGACATGGGTGATCAGTCAACCTATTATGGCATTGTAGGGGGAGGGGGTCGCTACCACCAGGAAGTTTTGTTCGAATCTGACCACACAAGGCCATGTGCCAATCTCTACAAGTACTGCTACATCCCAAGGGGGCAGACTTCTTCTCCACTAAAGCCCACTAAAGGGGTGTCTGTAGGCTTCAGGTCGCTTCTCTGCAACTGAAGCTGGTCGAACGCAGCTTTGAAAAGGATGTCGGCTGACTTACCCGAGTCCACGAGTACGCGTCTGACCTCGAAGTCGTTGATTCTTAGCTTTATTACGAGTGCATCATCATGGGAGTAGTGGACCCCTCGCGCATCGTCTTCTGTGAAGAAAATCGGGTCTCCCATCTTCGGCCGCTTTGGGGGGTTCTTCTCTTCCCGGGTGGCCTCACTAACGGACATCCGAGCTGCTACTGAAGTGCAACCCGCAACAATCGAACCTCTCACTATCATGTGGGTGGTCCCCCAAACTGGCCTCTCCTCTGGAGGCTGCCTCTACGATTGTTCGGCCGGCCTGCTGCTGGACTCGTGGGCATCTTTACCGTGCTCCCCTTGCCGACCTACTCTATTATTATTGTTATTATTATTTTGTACAAAGTTTCTCAAATATCCCGGACGGATGAGCTCCTCTATCTCGTCACGGAGGTTTTTACAACTCTCGGTACTGTGACCGTGATCTTTGTGAAAACTGCAATACATACTCTTATTTCTTTCATTGGGATTCCCCCTCAGACGGGGTGGCCACTTCACGTACGGGGCATCCTTGATCGCTATCAGGATCTCGGCCCACTTCGCGTTTAGTGGGGTGTAATCAGCTCGGTCCGCTACAGGAGCCCAGAACAATTGACCCGGCTTTGCCCCCCGAATCGTTTCCTTTTTTCTTCGGCTGTCCCCTTGACTGGAAGGCTCTCATTCTCTCTTTCTTTTTTCGGGTGCGCCCTCGCCCTTTTGGTTGATCTCCTCTTCGGTGGCTATGAACTTGTCCGCAAGCTTCAGAAACTCGGTTATGGTCGCGGGTTGGTTGACGACCATGTGCCACTTGAATTCTTTGTGCGTCACGCCCTTCTTGGTTGCTGCAAGGCATACGGTGGGGTCCAGGCGCGGTATCTGCATACAAGCATTGCTGAACCGCTTGATATAGCCCCGGATGGACTCTCCCTCTCTTTGCACTATGTTGAGGAGGCTTTCTTCAATTCGCGGGCACTGTTTGCTGGTGACGAAGTGGGACGTGAAGGCTTGTGCGAACTGCGCCCAACTTCTTATCGACCCGAGTGCCAAGTTTTGATACCACGTGCGGGCTTCTCCCCTAAAAGTGGTGGAGAAGGCCACGTACATGCACGACTCACTAGCTCGCGCCAGGTGCATCTGTGACTGAAA